GCCAGATGCGCTCTCATATCGCTAGCGGTTTTATTTGCCATTGTGAGACAGTGATCTGTGCAACAACAAAAAATTATTCGTTATGTTATGTTGTGGCAATGACAATGATTGAAAATGATATTTCCTGTTTTTATATATATATATTATATATAATGTGTGTGTATAAAAAATAATGTAATTACAGATATATAAGAGATCAGTGAGTCTAATTAGTAAAGAAAAAATACAGTATTGAACTGTATTGTATTGTATTTTTATAATTTATAATATTATTAGAATAAACACAAATTAATTGATTATTAATTAAAACAATTTAAATATAAATAATTTCCACTCTAATAATTCTAAATGTTTGTAATACTAACTGAAAACTGTTAAGAGAGAGTAGAGAAACAGGTACTTTTTAGCAAATGTTTATTATAGTTAAAGTAATGAATTATGAAGCGTGGCACTGTTGCTATGGCAACGTGCTTTTGGCAGACTGACCACGCATTCGTTTTTTAACACACATCTTATTAAAATCGCAATTTAGAAATCGCTCCAACCATTATAAGAGGTGCAATTTTCCAGAGAATTGTTAAAATGGATAGAGATTTCAAAAATAACTACAATAGTTCTGCAAGTCAGCATATAACCGTAATATAAATCAAATAAATAAATGAAATTTTTCAAAATACTAGTTCACACTAGTTATTGGCGCCCCTATGAAAAAACCAACCACATCAATAAATAATACCAAACTTCCATTTAAAATACTGAAATAATTTGCAGGCTTCAAACAGTGTTGTTAAAATGTGACATAATGTACGAAAAAGTAATTAAATATGCACTTTAGCTGGGTAGAGTCTGGTGACTATTAAGAGGATTATCGATTTATTCAAAATGGAGGATGGCATGCCACTAGAATTGGACTTTCAATTGATGAACTTCTAAACTGCACTGTGAATTCTACCAATCATTTAGAGTTATGAAATTTTACACACTAATATATAAATGGCTGATGAATCTAATTATCACTAGTAAATTTATGCAATCTATCTCAAAGCTTTATACTGATATGGTGAACGTAGCTATATATTCACAAGAGAACAACGAAAACAGACCGCCAACCACAAACTCCACTCACCATGTGCTGTCTAACTGATTGTAACATCTGACGTTCGGGCTATTTATAGCTAGGGAAACCCCGTGATTTGGCGTGCTTTTCAAAAGAATTTAGGGCACCCCGAATCCCGCCGATGTTTTCCGTACGCAAATTTTTGCTAGATCGGTGACGTCATCGTTATTCGGAGGTCACGTGACGGGGGCGCGTCCGTAGTCGCTAGTTTATTATTATTTAGATACTTTACTTTCATAACTTTCTCATTCTTGGTGGGGTTTGGACATCTTCAGGTACCTTTTGCTTTTCAGTCAAAGTTTTAGAAAAAAATATTTTTCTAAAGTAATTGGCATAGTGATAGTGGATTCTGCTTAGAAAATACAATTGAACGGTATATCATTCAAGCCTCTGTGTCAATTCTAAGTTGTGATATTAATTTTTAATGTTAATTACAATTTTTTTAATTTATTATTTAAAAACTATAAATTATTCAAAGAATAATACAATAATTATTAATTATTAGTTATAAAATATGATTATATAGGCTATCCTCCGAATAACGGTCCTAAATTATTGAGGTGGAAAATATACCTTAACAGGGCCTTAGTCATGTCTCACTTGCCCACTTCGGTCATCAAAAATTTAGCACTTTCGGCGACTTCCGCCACCGCCGAGAGTATACCCCACGCGTCGTGGATTGGCTGGGACTCACGAGCAGCAGCTACCGCATCTCCTGCAGCTTCCATTTTTATTTATTTTCTAGCCATCTAGTTTAGCCCCAATCCACGCTGCACGAGCGAGCGGCGTGCAGAATGCTCTCGGTGGTGGCGGTATAGTCCCCGGAAGTTCGCAATTCGGCGGTGGAGTTATAGTCCCCGGAAGTGCGCAAGTGACATGTGACTGAGGCCCTGTTGGGCTATTATTTCCGCCTCGATAATTTAGGACTGTTATTCGGAGGATAGCCAAATATATATATATAAATCAATAATGGTGTCGTATGGACTCAGAGACTATTGTCTATTGAACTGATTTTGCTGACATTTGCAGGATATGTTTGTTTTGATGTCCGGATGCTACATGTCTGACATAGTTTGAAATAGGTGGCCCTAGCACGAACTACAAAGCTCCAGCGATGATCACATCAGCATCTTGGTGTTTTTTGTGTGTGGCCGCGTTGCCGGCCGAGGTTTTTTATTTCACTGTTATTAGTATAAGCAGCAGACAGCATCATAATGAACCACTGCAGTTTAATATATCTGTATACATCATTCTTATTTACTGTACAATTCCTGTTAAATTTAATTCAATATTCAGTTCAACGTGTATTTGGAAAGCTTCAGTTAGCTAAGTTGTTGGAAACTGTCTTAAAATTCATTTCTTACATCACAGGTGCCACTTCAAAACTAAAACACAAATGGCAGCAGACGGCGCTGTGAGTTTTAATAAACCATGGCAGTCTAATATGTTTCATCATGCACAACAATTTACTGTAATTCTTGTTACATTTTATTCAGAATTGATTTCAATGTATAGTTGGAAATTTTTAATTAGTTTCTGAAAAATTTCTTCAAGCTCAGTTCTTAAACTGTGGGTGCTGTGTGGCAATAGCCAACTGAATACCAATGTCGGCAGACAGTGCTATGAGTTGTACAGTACAAGATGTGATAGCAGCTGAATATGTATGACGTGTTAGAATTAAAAATATTCAATATTGCATCAATAATTTTTTTAACACTTTGCTGACCAACTTCAATTAGTGTAGAATTTCCGGCCATATCACCTGGTAACTGACTTCGGCGGTCGTCGAAATCGTTACATGTATCTGTCGACAGATGCCCCTACCGATTTTTTTCAAATTGAGCTGCATCTGGGTGTTTTTATTATTCCAGGATGGCTGCGCCTATGTTCAATATTGCTTTGAGCTGATTCAAGCGTTGTTTTCAGCGAAACTTAAAAAAATTATTGTTCCCAATACATATTCAGCCTTTTTGTCATGTCTTGGGATAAAAATCAGACCAGTAGATTATTCAGAATCTGCCAGCAAATTTAGAGCTGACAACGATAGTTCCTGGATAAGTAGAGATTCATGTGTGAACATTATCGTCTTATATCGCAACTGAAAGTAGCGAAAATGATGATTTACTTTATAATTGTTTGTAGGTGCATCTGAAGAAAGAAGTGGATGTGGCACAAGAGACCATAACTTTTCTACAGTTAAAAATGCTGTTTGTAAATGGAGAAAGGCTGCTCAAAATGAACATGTTGAGCTTGACAATCTTCCTCATACGAAAAACAACAAGGTGCCATGTCAGATGCAATTGGGTGTGTGACAATGGATTTTTTTGAAGAAGCAATTGAAACAGAAAAAAGCAGACAATGGAAAATGCATGCGGATGTAGCGAGCGTTGATTGGTTATTGAATATTTAATTAAATTTAACAAAAATTGTGCAGTAAAAAAGAATGATGTATACAGATATATTAAACTGCAGTGGTTCATTACGATCATATCTGCTGCTTATACTAATAACAGTGAATGCTATCTAGAAAGAAAAAAGTTTCTTGGAGGTCTGCTTTAGAAGGGCAATTGATAATTCTTTAAGCACGCACAAAGTTGCCATTAGAGCAATTAATGTATTCAGCTAAGCTATATATGACAGCAAAAAAAGCTAGTAATTGATTCTGTGATGTGCCTACTAAAAGCAATGAAAGATAAGAATGAGAGAAGTAGAACTGATCAGCTTGCAATCCTGAACGACAAATAGAAGTTGCATTTAGATAACCTTCATCAACATACGAAACAAATGGACATTGATATAATTACTGTTACAAACAAGAACGCACTTGATACAAATCTAGACTTCTCTGTCTTTATCTAATCATGATTTGATTTTCTTCTGTAACTATATAAATGTTTACTTTCTGAGCTCTGTTTTATATTATTCTCTTGTGCTTTGTTATCTGTTGTCAGTTATTTAGTAATGAACCTGACAAGCAAGAAAAATGTAGAGAAATGCCAGGCAATAAATTTTGGATTGTTTAAGTTTTCCTTTCATTGTTGAAATGATTATTTTTTAGTATCATAGTATATGCTGTGAAATAATCAGCCGTTGAAACTTGTCTTTCTTTTTTAGACTTATATATTGTGGGTCTCCATGGCAAAGTGAGCCAGCAGATTCCCATATGTTTTGAGTGTTGTTGAGTTCATTTTTGAACTGTGCCATTCTTTCTGTTCATGGGTACAGTTTATTCTGTGACTGCCAGTACATCATCACTCGTTGTGTCAGATTCACTACTCGATGTCAGTTATTCTTTGAAGGAATCTGAGCCATATGGGGTCAAGCAGAGTGTGGTGAAATCAACCCCTTCACCTTTGAATGTGATGGTGCCGTGTTAGCGCAGTCGATAAGAGGCTCACTTTCAAATCCAGCTGCGACTCGCTGCAGCCCACGGTCGGTATTCCAAACCGGTCGGTTCCCGTGGTTCACCCAGCCTCTAGGAAATGGGTACCAGAGTTGACACGCTTGGGATAATTGGAGGAACGTCGCTGTAGCAGCAGAGTTACGTGCGGACGGCGACCCAGCCGGACAATTCTCATCAGCTGTCTGTACTGGTGGCAGAGCACTTATAGTTTATAACCGTGTGCAGTGACGCTGGTTCACATTTCCCGACTTTACCTTTTTTTTTTTTTTTTACCTTTGAATGTTTGTTAGTTTAACTCTTTGCATACCAAGGAACACATCTTACCTTTATTGGTTCCTACCTAGAAGCCCAATGAATGCATGATGCTCCAATTTTTTTGTCTCTCTTTACTGCCCCTTGGGTCTATGATGCTAAACCTCCTGGGACTCAACGGTTTAAGCTGCTATGATAGTTAATTATAATATTTGAACAATCTTCCAGGGGAGACAACTCGCATGAACTTGTTCCAGTCTATCACAAGTGCTCTTGATATAGCCCTTGCCAAGGATTCCTCAGCAGGTAATTTCAGCTGCGAGAATGAATGTGTTTGGTCTTTTATATATTTTTTAAAGCTTTGTGGCTTGTCTGTCGGGCTGTCTTAAAAGCATTACAGGTCCCATGGCGAAGCACACACAGCCACTCGCAGGAATACAAATGTAGATCATCCATAATATGTATCATTTCTTTGCTTTCACAGGCTGTAAATTTTGAAAGAAAGTTGTGGTTGTTTTTTAATTTCTGAACTTTGGTCTTGTTCTGTAACTTGAGTTTTGCCCACATGTCAATATTACACATCTGGCTTATTTGGATGCAAATTATTGGTTCTTTGCCTTTCAGGCAGATGCACTCCAGCTCTAGAGAAAACACCCCTAATAGATAGACCTTTTTGACACTCTAATTATGGAAGCAGTGGGTTTATTCTTGTTTTCCCCACAATGAGGCCCTGGAATCAACACAGGGGAAAATGTACTTATAAATATTAATATCTCTGATATTTAAACACATGATGTATAGTAAAGATTAATCAGTACTTAGTGAATATAACAGTATAACACAAGATTTTATTTAAAAAAAAACAAAAATAGCATGGAGCTCTTGGGCAACTGCTAATGCTGTCTGTAATGTTCCACATAAATGATGGGCTGAATTATTATTATTGGTGCTTTTCCTTGTTTCTGGACAATGTATCCTGCTATAGGGAGGCATAGGAATCACATCCCATGACAGTACCAGTTAAGGCCAGGAATGAGCGAACCTCTCCATAGCACTAAACTTGAGGAGTATTGTAGAGGTTATGTGCAACCTCTGCAGCATGATCCCTGTCTTGGCCTGCTTTGTTCACTCCAATGGAAAAGGAACACCTATATTTTTAGAACGAAGTATGCTGCAGGGAGCTCTCGGATGAGAAGCGAAGTGCTTTGTTTTTTGTTTGCTATCAGAGCTTTTCTTATGGGCCAGCTGCCAACCAAGGCTATGTGTTTGGTATGTCCTGCCATAACGTTACGGTTTCAGGTTGTGTCTTCCTAGGATCGAACATACTACACTTTAAATAATGCTGATGGAAGTACATACAATTGACAGGGGCCATTATGGTTGATCATGACTGATGAGTGTTTGGGTTCTGCTACAGTTTAAAGATGTGCAAGCAGGACAAGAAGGATACAGGTATTGTGTGGATCTGTGGGAACAGGGTGCTATGGATCATTTTGTATGGAGAGGGAAACTAGCAAGGAAACATGAAAAAAAAGGAGAAAAGAATTACATACAGGTTAAGAGTTATACATCTGAGAAGAACCTTGTTACATACACATGATTGCAACAGTGGTCCTGAAATCTCATTCACCTAATTGGGGAAGATCCTAATTTAAGAATTTTAATGCGAGCTGGTCTTACTTTTCGCACTTGCTATCACCATGGGCTGTACCTGTCTTGCCTCCATTTTGAAGTGGGAAGATACCAGCAGTTTGTGGGGATAACAAACAGCTCATGACCGTGGCAAGCATGACTAGTAAGACCCACACATTAAGTAGTTTCCCCACAATAAATGCATGAGATTTCATGGCCATTGATTGCCATCACATTTTGGTATGTTTCTCCTCAAAACACTCAGCTCTTTATCTGTCTGCATTCATTTTCTTCTTTGTTCTTTTTTTTTCTGATTGTGTTCCTCCATGTAACTGGATCCATGGGGTACTGCTCGTCTCAGTCCATCTGAGGACTTACATTGTCCAATAGGATACTGCTGCCCTGCGTTACACAAACCACATATGTGAGGCTATGGAAACAAGCTCAGTTTATGAGCAAACTGGTCAGTCATTAACCAATCATCACAGTGGATGTACTAGACAACAAGAATGTAGCAACACACCACATGAGATAGAGTTGCGTTAGTGGTGAAGATAAAATGATAGTTTGTTTAAATAGTAATGTCATTTTTATACTTATTCAACTGATCATTCCCAGAAAACTAGACCCAAGAGCAGTGCAGCTATATGTTATTCTTTGTAACTTGTAGAGTCATGAGCTAGCCTGTTTTTAGACTACAAGTGACCTGAGGAGTCTGACAGGTCACCCTTGACTGTACAGTAACCATGCCTTAAGTGTTTCAGTCTAGTGCAGGGGTCTCCAACTTTTTTTCAGATGCCCCCTTAAGTATATGGAAGACATCATAACAAAATTTGATTAAAAAGAGGACCAAAGAAAAACCCTCAGCACTGTTAGCAGGAACTTGGAAATAAACACGCACATAAATCACAATGTCAAATAACAGGTCACCAGTATCAGTGTGATGGCTGACACTGTTTTTTTATTGATATCTGCTATGTTTGATCTGATATTGGACAAGGCACAAAGGAGCTCACTCTTCACATCAAGCTGGCAACGCTGTTTTGTTTTCATGACTATTAAAGCTGAAAATCTGGATTAGTACAAGTACAAATGCACTCAATTTCACAATTGCGTGATGCTCCCTTTGAAACTTCTTTACGCATGACTAGTGGGTGCTTCTCTCCCTCCCCCCAAGTTGGAGACTGACGATTTAGTGTGTCTGTAACATGATTGAAAAATGAAATTAAAGATCAAAGAGTTGGGAATAACCTTGGAGAGCAACTAAAATTTAAAATCTTTAGCAGGGTGATCAAATAACCTTTCTACACATCTAGGGCTTTGACTTTACCATACATTTCCCACACCCTGACAGTGCCAGTAACAACTATGACTTGCCTTATTTTCAGTTCTCTTTGGGGAAGATGTTGCATTTGGTGGAGTCTTCCGATGCAGTGTTGGTCTAAAGGAAAAGTATGGTAAGCGTATTCTATGTCTAGACAGCAAGTGGGTGAGACTAGACGGATACATTATGTGGGAACCAAAGAAGAATAATAAACCAACACAGATCTTATGTCATCTGCTACCTACTGGGGGGGGGTGGGGGTGATCCAGGCACTTACGAACTAACTGGTTAGATGTGCAGAGAGGATGATTTGTCGATTAACTAATCAATAATAGTGAGGTTTTTGAATGAGACACTTCTCCCCTCACTCAATCTACTTTAACCCAGTATATGTGAAGGCTAGCTGTTTCACAACACTGCTGCAAAAGCTACAGTCTAGTTACTTGTAACTTTGGTTAAGAGCCACTGTTTCATAGTGGTTAATACAATGATCCAGGTTTATCCCCTAATATAATCTATTCGACCAGATCAACTCAAAGACAAAGAGAATGTGAAAGCCTGACACTTCACATTGCATAAAAGTGTGGTGGGAAACAAACAAGCAAATAGACTGGCTGGTTCTGCACCACTTGGTGGTGAACTGGTGCATGACAAGCAAGATGTTATAGGGGTCCTTTGGAAGTGAGTGAACAGTGCAGAGGCATTAATAGATCATTACAGTCTGAGGAGAATGGTGCTGCGAGGAGTGAACATGGAAGCTGGCTGACAAGCAACACTCAGAGAAGGCGGGGTAAATATACAGTCAGATGTTACTGGTGACATCAAAATTGGAATACTTGCTGGTGAAGATAGGATAGGGCACTTTTGGGACTGTCCTCAGTTCTGTGATGTCAGTTCTTAATTCACACTCCAACAACAGTATCTGTTATGGGACTATCTTACTGGGCATAAACTGACCTTGTCTCTCAGGTCTACTCAGCATAAAATGGGTACTAGATAATTTCCTTGGAAGTTAAGACAGCCAACGTGAAGTCGAGCATAGCATCCACTGAGTGTCATTTGGTTTAGACAAATATATGTCAAGCTCAAAAGACTCAACCAAGTCAATAAATTCAAATATCTGGGAACAGTCAAATCATCAGATGGAAAATGTGTGACACAGATTATAAGCAGAATAGGTCAAGTGAAGGCAGCATTTCAGAAAATGAAAAATATGAAATAAGATGCTCTCATTTAATGTCAGAAAGAGGGTGCTAAATATACATAGAACCTGTTTTGCTGTATGGCAGCGAATCTTGGAATGTCACTGAACAAATTTGAAGAATTTGTAAGCAACAGTGATGTGGTTTCTGAGGCAAATGTTACGAATACCTTGGATGGCCAGAGTAACTAACTAAATGATTGTTTAACTCTTTGAGTCACAAGGAACACATCATACGTTCATAGTTTCCTACCTAGAGGCCCAATGAACGCATGATGCGCTGATTTTATTACTTTCTTTACTACCCCCTGGGCCTGTGATGCTAAACCCCCTGGGACTCAAAGAGTTAAAAGAAGCTAATGAAGTTAGATCACAAAAATAAGAAGGAGACAAACACTGTTCTTTGGCCACATAATGAGAAAAGACTCATTGGAAAACATCTCGACAACTGGATCAGTGAAAGGAGTGGCAGAGACAGACCAAGAGAGATGATGCTGGATGGGCTAAAACGATGGCATGGAGGGATATCATCAAGAGAGCTGTTCCAGGCAATAGGAATCATGATCTGTGGAGATGCATGAGCGCCTACACCAGTTGGCAAGGCACATGATGATGTCAAGTTTCATTTGCCTGATGTGCAGCTGGCTATGATAAAAAAAAGAAAAGGGGGGGGGGGGATTCTTTAATTTGCCGTCATTGCCAGTGTGTGATACCAATTGTGTCCTCTTGTAAGTACTGTTCCTATGGAATTTGGGAGATGTAGGTTCGATCCTGGGTCATGGATAATTTTTCTGCGGGAGCAGCAGTAGACATCCTCACCTGGACAGTTCATGGCCGCTGCACTAGCCATGTGCAGCTCAATATCCTTAGGCCCCACCCCGCTCAGTGTCCTACACTGCTCTAAAAGTGGTAAATACCAGCAACTCTTCTTTTCTATTTACTTCAACATAGTTCTTTTTTCGAGGGGGAGTGATCTTCTATATGCTGTTTCTAATGCATCATATAAGTTGGTTTTCATTTCTTTAAGGACATCATTCCATCTACTGTTTAGTCTTTCCCCTCTGTCCATTTAATTTTTTCAGCGGGCTCTCTGAGGCGGTTGGTAGCATTCTCATCATATGGCCCAACCATTTCATCGTTGCACTTCAATAAATTGTATAATAATAGACTGTAACAATGATATGTACGTTAAAACCAGCAGTAACAAGATTTTTACAATATTTGTTTCTTGAACATGTTGTTATCTTCTATACCCGCCAGCAATGTGAAGTATATTTCCTCAACAGGATCTGATAGGGTGTTCAACAGTCCTTTAAGTGAGCAAGGAATTGTTGCATTTGGCATCGGTGTTGCCCTCACTGGGGCCACAGCTATTGCAGAAATTCAGTTTGCAGACTACATTTTTCCTGGGTTTGATCAAGTAAGTTTGGAAATTGGTGATTGTTTAAAGCTTCAAAGAATCTCTGAAGGTGAAAGAGTATCTGAAGGTTTAAAAAAAAGTATTTATGTGTGGAAATTGTCTTCATTATTCAAAGCCTTTAAAATTCATTACTGCAGATATCACCCACCTTCATCCATCTCTGTGACTGGCCTTCTCTTTCCAAATTATTGACTCCAAGTGTTTTTAGGGCTGTATGTAAATTATCTCTCCGCCACCTTCTTGAATTCCTCATTGTCTGCTCCCATTTAGTATTTTTATTTACACTGTGTGTGTGTCCATCATTTACTGTTTTCTCTACAATCTGAAAGAGTAGAGTATCTTCTGAAGGTGAAAAAGTTCCTGAAGATAAACAAGTCATACAAAAATTGAAGAACAAAGAACACCAGAACCAGTTATATAATTCATCAAAGAGCAACATATGAGATAGTTTGGCCATATGCTGTAAATGTCCTGCTACCAACTGCCACAGAGAGCCATCTTGAAAAAATTTAATGAGCAGAGAACCAGGAGTAGGATACAAGAAAAAAATGGAACAAGGGCATCAAAAACAACCTTTGAGAAACAAAAACCAATGTTAGTGAGGTATTAGAACTAGCACAATGAAGATCCTCACATCTTCACTACTGTGCTTCGCTGAGGTAGAGAAGATGCCAAGCACAGTACTTCATAGGCTACTTTTGTCTCATACATTTGTTAACTCCTTGGTTACTCTAGTTTGCTGTAACTGCAGTAATAAATGTCAAGACCAGTCAGCTTTAACAACTGTCTGTAGCAGAGATAGGAGCTCTAAAAGGGATTTAGGACATGTGTAGTTAGCTCAATAAATAGAATATTGGGTTATTTGGGTTATTGTATCATCCAAGCATAACTATGAGTGCAACTAGACAGATTATTAATAGCATATTTATTCCAACATTAAGCTACCAGTGCCAAACATGGACACTATCTAAAGCCTATATACGCAAAATTACCACCTGCGAGATGAGGTGCCTGAGAAAAGCAGCCAACCTAACCATCCGAGATCGAGTGAATAATGAAACTATCAGGCAAATTGTGGGAACGACACCTTGTACTAGATTCATTGAGAAACAGCAGATCAAGTGGTTTGGCCATCTTGTTAGAATGCAGCAAGATCAAATACCATCACAAGCACTACATCTCAGAAGATCAACTACAAGAGCAAGAGGACGGCCGCAGAAAACATTGATCGACAACATTAACTCTACGCCTTCACGGCATGACAATAGCCAGTGGCAGCCAACGTGCACTGGATCGCAAATTATTCCTCCCCACGACGCTTAACGGCAGAAGTGGTTCATGATGATGATGATATTATCTGTCATCATTTCTAAGCCCTAAAAAAGGCATACATCCATCAGGGTCTGGCCCCCTTGAAACAATCTCAGACTTGGTAAGAGATTGATCTAGCAGACATTGAAAGTAACACTGCATGCTGAAAGTGTTGAATCTGTGGCATGTCTGTTAGAAAATGGAACTGCCTGTGCCACCCAAATGCCTTGATAAGGTATCGAAGAGAAAGTTGACATTTTCCTTCACATTTCAGATCAGGAATGAAGCAGCGATGTACCGTTACAGATCTGGAAATGAATTTGATTGTGGCAAACTGACCATACGAACACCCTGCAGCGCTGTTGGCCATGGATCTCTGTACCATTCACAGAGTGTGGAGGCTTTCTTTGCTCATTGTCCTGGCTTGAAGGTCAGTGAAGCTTAGATTTATAATGAGTCAACTCGATATATTGCCGTTAAGGTTAGGTTTATAACTTTCATCCAAGACAATTACAGCAGAGTTTGTTCCCTGGGCTATGTGCCTTACAGTAACAGTCCTAATGAGTTAAATTTATCCAACCTAGAACTATTGGGGGAGAATACACTAATGTGATAGAAGAATGGAACAGAGGTTATGAAGTGTATAGTATGTATACGGTAATCAATAAACATACAGTGAGAGCCCTGATATTGTAAGAGCTAATATCTCCCCATGTGGATTGTGGGGAAAACAAGGATAGACTCACTGTCTTCCCAACAAGAGTGTCGTAAGAGTCGACTGATGAAAGCTTTCTTCGAAGTCCGAGTACATTTGTTCTGAGAAGCAAGGAACCAACAGTCTGCATACAGATAAGGCAGATCTTTCAAATGGATGTGCATGCAAGACTCAAGTTCTGGAAAATGACTAAAGCTTTAGAGATAAATGAACAACCAGAGTTTGGGTAGATTCTTAACTTCAAATTTTGCTCGGGCAGCGCCGTTAGGCTACTCTTTTCGATTTTCAACTGTCACAGTATTTTTTTTTACGTGCGCAATAATCCATACAGGCGTCTGGTCTTCCTACCCGGAGACAAGGGAAAATTACTAGAAGTCCATGTAACAAATCTCAGCCTTCACCGTGGTTTGAACCCAGGACCTCCAGCTTTTAAGATGCATACCATACCTCAAGACCGCATAGCCCCTCCCTAAGGTTATATCACCTCCCTTAGGTGTAAAAGTAAATGAACAAGCTGATAAGTTGACAGGGAAGGCGGATTAGCTTTATACCAGGCTGCTGAACTGAATGCTGTACAAGACGTAAGACTTTTGCAAGAACCAATTGATAACTATGCTTCTGCAACAATGATCAGACTGCAGTAACAATTTAAAAGTGTGAACCAAGAGTACTGTGAGAGGCTTACTTACTAGAAGCAATTGATTCTGTTTGTGCCTACACAAATGTTTGACAGGACAGGAAAAAATTACATTCAAAGGAATAGCATTTAGACTTGTTTGCTTGTAAAAAAAAAAGCTTTATTCCCTGAAACAATGACATATTTACCACATTAGCCATGTGGTAATTAGGTCACGACGTCAAGTAATTGTCCTGCTTTAGTTTATTTGAAGAACGCTCAAACAGATGTTAGCCAGTTAATTTTCCACTTGCATTTATTTTAATTTAATTTATTACTCTTCTTCATCTTTTTAGGTTTTTTTAAATTGTAAATTGATTATGTGTAATTTTGTTTCATTTGTAAAGTTATTTTAAGGGGGGGGGGGGGGGATTCCCAAAATTAGGAAAATACATGATTTGACACTTTTTTAGCTAGAGTACATGGGGGGAAAGGGTTAACCAAGGTTTGAATTGAGTCAAGAATTGACATTACAGCGCTTAGGTCATTCCCATAGTCCCTCCGTCCCTATCTTCAGCAGCCATTGCATTTCAGTACTAAGGGAACCAGTCGTAATCTGGTCATATGTCCGTTTTGTGTTTTCTCTGAGTGTAGTGAGCCGGCGAGACCCTCTGGTTACACCCAGGTGCATCATTCTCTCCAGGCCATAATAATCTAGTTTCCTGTCTGACTTTGTTGCTTGTTCCCACATCTGCCTTGTCTTTTATCAGTTCACCACCCAATGGTGCAGATCCTGCCTGTTCATTTCCCGTCACGCCTGCATAACCTGGAGAAAAGATCCATGGTCACTACCTGTGACCTTCCCAGTGAAGCTTGCCACTGCTTGAAGCATCCCTGTCCTCACCTTTCTCAGCATGCTTTCATAGTCTGTTAAAATTACAACATATGTATGCATCTTCTTCTGTAGTCACCGGAAAGCTGCAGTAACTGCCTCCACCTCCATTCTCATGCTAGATGTTGTGGTGTCATATGCTAGGCTGTACTGCACTAAAGATTTTCAGTTGGCATTCATTACGACACCCCAAGCACTACTCTTACCTCTCAACACAGATAAAATAACCATTGGCTTTATTATAGATTGACTATTGCATATAATTGCATTTCAGATTGTGATGCCCAGAGGCCCCATCCAGGCCAAAGGGTTGCTGCTGTCCTGCATACAGGATAACAATCCCTGTATTTTCTTTGAGCCAAAAATCCTGTACAGATCAGCCATTGAGGAAGTTCCTATTGGAGATTATACATTACCATTATCGAAAGCTGAAGTTATACTTGAAGGTTTGTTATTGTTTTTGTTGACTTTCTGACCCTTTTTCATACCTTTGGCACATCAAGAATTTGTTGCTAGATCTGCGGATTGGTGATATGGTCAGCATCGGGCCACCCAACTTTACTTCACAGGACATTACCTGGAACCAGTTTTAGGCTGAGTTGACCTGAAAGCCATGATTTTTTTTTTTTAATCTGTCTCAGCGTAGATTTAAACATTAGAACTTTCTCTATTTTTGGGTCTGCGTTTATTTATTTGATTCTGTGGATTTCAATGCAAGGATATTCTAGTTATATTGTCTCAGGTTTTATTTATGTGTATACAGTTCAATACTAGTATCTTTTTCCTTGCCTGATGATTCAGTGAAATCTTGCAACTATTATGATGTTGAAAATGAGCTAGCTAATGTCAAGCTGGTATATCTGGGAAACCCACTGAAGACAACAAAATGCAATTATGGGATAATAGTTTCACTGAAGGTGTTTACAACAAATACAGTAAACAGTGTTACTTTTTAATGAAAATTTAAACTCTTTGTCTGATTTCATGTGTGATCTGAAATTAGAATAGACCAACCAAGTTAATCTGTCTGATTTCAGATAGTGCACTGAAATGTAAGAGGAACAGCTAAATTAATGTTTTTGATTTCAGGTAATGATGTGACTCTGATTGGCTGGGGAACCCAGGTTCATGTGTTGAGGGAAGTGGCCGCACTGGCACAGCAGAAGTTCAATGTGTCGTGTGAGGTGGTTGATCTGTGTACCATTCTGCCATGGGACAGAGAGACAGTGGCTCAGGTATGTTTTATGACCATGTGTTACCAATGGTCATTTGGGGGGGGGGGGGGAGACAAAGAATAGTATACAGTACAACCTACCAGCCAAACGTGTCATAAGTGCTGATTTCTATGTGTAAATTGCAGGGACCCCATTGGAGAGGGAAAGGGGGGGGGGGGCAGAATCAACAGGCTGTTGATTACAAACATGTAAAAGATAACTAATTCAAATTTGTATGAAATAAAATGGGCTGAAAGTTGCAGATATTACTGACTGTGAACAGCAATACAGCCTGCCACCTATCCTATGGGGGAACATGGTAGAGAAGTGAAGATAAGAGATGATTAACTCTTGCAGTCCAGAAAATTTTGAATTAGCTCATTATATCCAGAGTTGTTGCTTTAAAAAAAATATAAATTATATGTTAACAAGAGATCAGATAATAATTGAACAGAGGTAATTAAGTGACAGTGGGGCTACAGGTATTCGCACACAAAAAGTAGAGAAATGTCTGAGCGACCGCTGATATCAACATTATCTTCTTCTTCTTAGCATGCACCAGCTGTAAACTCCGGCTCAAAGTCTATTTGTGAGCTGATCTTGTTCCAGAACTTGGGTGTTGCCTACACATCTTTATTACAGGTCTGGCTTATTTGGGTCACACTGTTGGCTCCTAGCCTCTGGGGCAGATGCACTCTGACTTTGAAGAAAGCTTCTATCCTTTCTATATTGGAAAGGCCCACCAGTTGGGAACCTGCGTCTCTGATGAATTTGGAGAGTATAGATCAGACAGGTCCTGATCGTTATGAGCCTTCGTCCTGGTGCACCAGCACATCATGTAAAGCACATTTGCATTCCGCATGTTAAATGAAGTCATTTGATCTGTAGTGATTATTTTAAAAGGATAATTTATGAGCTGAAAAGAGTTCATTTAATAACCCCATTGAACAGAAGGATAATTGGCTGTAGATGGATAAGGTGTTGGATGTGATACAAGTAGTTGACACATGCACACAAAAGAGTAAAAGTAAAGGATCCAATTATGCCAGTGGCATGTGGTGGTAGACTCATATTTTTATAGACCACTTGGCACTTGGTGAATAATTTAGCTGGCCACTTTTACTTCTGAGGGCACTACCTAGAACCAGTTTTAGATTGGGTCAATCCAGGAGCCAAGGTCAGTTTAAAAACAAACAAAAATACTGTTAACAGTGCGAATTCAAAGCCAGACCTTTTGGCTGACTGCCACTGCAGATCAATGTTAATATGATGAATTGGCTGGTACCGAATGCATTAAGGTGCTGTTGTGAGTAAGGGTCCTACTGGGAGTGGAGGGGAATAGACCCACTGCCTATTATAAGTATATAGCAAAAAGCAACCTATTATGGGTTTGCTGAAATCCGAGACATTTGGCCGACAGTGGCAATGCTGTAGCATAATTGTAAACAGCTTTTATAAGTAGGTAGGTAGTTGTACTCCACCAGGACATCACGCAAGTGATAAACACCTGGTGACACAAAGTGCCACCATGTGGATGAGGATCAGCCCGCGAGAGGTTCCAGAAATCCCTTTCGGCCGTTGCTATGGCAAAGCCATGTTTATGGCCCGGGTATATTCAGGGCCCCTGGGAGAATCCAGTGTGGGGCTTCAAATAACAAAAATAATTTCATCTCACATGGGGGAGAACATCTTTAGTGTAACACACTATTCATAGGCTCACTGTCTCCTTTTATAGGTAAGCACAGGAAAGAAAGAGTTAAGCTGGAGTTAGCTACATTATATATATATTTTTATATTTCTTCATTTTGTAAATTTGTTAAGACTGTTGTTGTTCCTTCTTGCTTGTCATATGCAAATGTTGATTTAGCTATGTTTATTGTTTAGCTGTTTGTTAAAACTGTATTACCATTTCAGTAGCAGCGTGTAATTACTTTGACTCTTTCTATCCCCTAAAATTCTACTTAAATGCAGCCAGTATGGTTAACCCTGTTTGCAAAACTGACACTTCCGTTTGGGGCCAGTTCCCTTAATTGTCACTTTTCCTACTTGTCTGTAGTGACCTGTTTACAAAATATATAGTTATGCGGATGTGTTCATGCCTACACATACGTTTATGGAGTTTCATCAAACCAGATGCTTTGTTTGTTTAAAGCCAAGATGTGGTCAAATTGTTTAGTAAACCTCAGTGGTAGAGGTCACTAGTGTTCATCATGGGTCACCCAATAGGCCTACATATATTTTAGGCCCCCTGAGAATGTATTCCATTTATTTTCTTCATTCTATTCATGTTTATTGATTGCTTATTTATATATAATTTGGAGAAATTATGTATGTAAAAAAAAATTATATTATATAAATATTTCTTAGTGACCTGAGTAACAGTTTTTGTTTTAAGTTTGTTTTCCTCAAGAATTTTGTAAAGGTCATGATCCGTTTTATTTTAGTGAAATGGTTAAAATAATCACACTATGGAACAGAAGTTATTTAACCAATTCTGATTAAATGGGTTATCTATCATTAAACATAATCAAAAACAAATGCTCTCTTCAGACTTTCCATTTAAAAATGAGTTGCAGGATACAGAAAGAGTTGATATTTTTAAGTTTACTGACAATCATGGTGAGATATTATTTAGTGTATTATAGTTGACTTGTAAGTAAAGGCGGCGGCCTCTGCAATGTTGAGTGCCGATTGGTCTGTAAAAATATGAGGCCAGCTTGATATGCTGTGCTATAAGAAGGTCCTTTACTTTAAATGAACAGTTATCTCCCTTGGTCCTCAGTCTGTGAAGAAAACTGGGCGAGTTCTCATCTCACATGAGGCACCCATTACCATGGGTTTTGGTGCTGAGCTGGCTGCCACCATACAGGTAGGTGTCCTGTGTGTTTTTTAACAATCCCTATTACTGCACAGATCCTAATATACAAAACAGCTCTCACATGGATACCAGAAGGAAAAAGGGGCGTCTAAAAACAACATGGAGTGGAACGATGGAAAGTGACCTGAGTGCGGCATCTCTGACATGGAAAACCTGACATGGAGAACTGCACTGAAGATTGCACAGGACAGAAAAGCATGGAAAGTCCTCTCTGAAGCCTCATGTGTCACGATGTAGGCGTAAAAAGAATTGATGATGATGATGATTACCGCACAGTCAAATCTGCAAGTGCTGCTGCTTTCCTCCTGAGCTTTTTCTGTTTCAGACTGCTGTTACTCAGTTCTTTACTCTTGTGCAGGTAGCTTGCTACTTGTAAAGCATTATTATATTATGGGTCTTGAGTAGTTAATATAGTTTTTGTTGTCTCCTTTCTGTCCCTTTAGACGATAGAGTTATATTGTGCTTAATGAAGGAATGAGAATCACAGCCAATGGAAAGGGTGAGAAAGGCTAGCAAGACCCTCTCACATTAAAAAAAATGTCTAGAGCATGGGATTTCATAACCATTGTTGCCATCTTAACCTTATGTCTTCTGAGATTCTCAGATTTTAATCTGTCTGCAATCATGTTCTCCTTTATCACTATTCCTCTTCTGATTTCCCTCCTCCATGCAACACAGAGCATGGCATCCTGTTCCCAGAATCCACCTCAATACAGGTATCATTCATGGCCTGCTTGCGCTAACCTTTGTATCATATAGTAAAGGCCAGCTTCAATATCTTTTGCTCAGTACTGTCATTACACTGAAAAATAGTACGTTCATATGATCATTCGATTGTAGTGGAAGGAATCTTCCTATATTCCATGCAAATGGCATTGGTTGTCAAGTTTGGACACAGCCTTCTGTCTCATTTACTGCTGATTATCTCTTACACATATTTTCTTCTATGCCCTGATACCATATTGTTCAGTATTGTCTCACATTTTGTCTTTCTGCCTCTCGTCCGCTCCAGCTTTCTTGGTGCCATCACATACTCCAGTTTTCTCCCTTTCATGAAATGCCCAAAAAATGTAAAGATTCATTAGTATGATGCAGCAAACTAGTTTTGTGTGTGTGTTTATTTTTTCAAGACATCATCGTTGCATTTTATATCTGACGTTTGTGATCTCATTCTACATATAATGTGTCACTGTTGATAATTGTTGACCTATGAAAAACTAGAAAAAGGAATTAGTATCCATGGAAATTAAAGGTCTGAGAAAGACTGCAGAAGTGACCAGAAGAGATTAAATTAGGAATGAATTCATAAGAGAAAAATCGGCATAGAACCAATTAAGCTACATACAGAGACAGCAACATAAAATGGTTTACCTACTTAGAATCTCTTGTGACACCATACCATACAAGACATATACCCAAACAGGAGAGCAACATAGAGCTTGAGATAGACCAAATTCAAGATGTAAAGATAACATCAGAGAAACTCTACAACAGCACGATGTGTCTATGGGCAAAGCAGCCAGAGGAACAAGCACTTGATGCTTCTCTCAGTGTTTAAAGAGGAAGAGGAAAGTTGAAGACTGTCAATAATTTTCAAGCAGAAGTCAGAATTTGTGGGTCCAAAAAATAACATAAGTGGAAGTAGCAATTCCACTGTGATCAATGGAGAAGTGAAGACGAGATACAGTGACATATTCTAGATGATTAGGTGTGTGCATTTACAGTGAGAAAACATTTTGATTGTTTAAATGTGATATATCAGATAATAAAACTTGGCAATATTTTGTGTGTGTGTGTATACCCAACAATAGAAATTGTTATCTTTTTCCAACAGCAAGAATGCTTTCTTCATCTGGAGGCACCCGTTGAGCGAGTCTGCGGGCACGACACTCCATTCCCTCATGTATTTGAAGCATTCTACCTGCCCGACAAGTGGCGATGTATTGAGGCTGTCAAGCGACTGATTAGCTACTAGAGATAACATTTATCACCTTGTTGAACAAATCTGAAGAAGTATTAAGACCTGTCAGTTGTCTGTGTAATAAACAGAAATCTTTGAATATATTAAGGGTATGTAACATGGTAATAAACAGAAAGTTGACAGCTTATCAAGATTGTTAAAGTCAGACATCTGTCAGCACAGAAATCAGTGTTAAACAGATGTCTGACAAGGCATTAGGGCTGGCAAACATCTGCAAATAAACATTTATGTTGTCAATAAACAGAAGCATGAGGATGTATTTAGGTTGTCAGTCATTTGAAATGAACAGAAAGCTATGGATACATTTGGGCTGAAAGTAAATAATCAGCAGATGAAAAGCTTGTTAATTGATTGCAAAATCTCGGTGACTTTTCTTTTTTTATTAATATAAAATCTTGGTAAGATCTGGGCAATCTTGTAAGACATGCTGCAGAATGTTCATGAACTTTCACAGCATGCGGGTCCATGGATCCACAACAGCTGAATGCTTTAAAGTGTGCATGCTGTGGCAGGCATTTTCTCAACTCTTTCACAGTTGTCCCAGCACATCTAAAGAACCAAATTCTCTAGTCCACATTGTACATATACACACAAATATGACATGATACTACATTTTTTCTTGTCTTTGGGATGCGTAATGATAATTTTATAGTTATTGGAAAGGTCACATTTGCCCGGCTGTTGTGTGTGTTAAGCCTGTCAGACTGGTTATTTTAGTTCCCATGTGGGTTCTGGGGCCTTGTTATAGGGAAAACAAGAATAGACCCATTGCCTGCCTAAAAGCGGTCGTAGGGGTCAACTAATTTGGAGCTTCTTTCAAAGTCGGAGTGCATCTGCCTGAGAGGCAGGGAACCAGCAGTCTGCATTAAATGAGTCACATCTGTAAAACTGATGCACATGCAACACTCAGGTTCTGGAATAGGACTGCAGTCCAGAAGTGGATGAACAACCAGAGTTTACAGCTTAATCTGTCAAATTCGGTGCAGTCCTGGAGTGCATGCTCTGCTGTCTGGGGCACTTTTCCACAGGTGCACATGGCTAATACTCCTATCTTGAAATTTGGAGGTTTTTTTTCAATATGATGAATAAAATGGGGGAGTGCATAGGTTGAAATGAATTGCAGAAATGAGAACATCCAAAAGAAACGCTCGGATGAACATTGATGAAAGAGGCTGGAGGTGCAGGGCTAGATTTCACCCATGATACTGAAACATTGCACAGGATAGAAAGGAATGTAAAAATAAACCCACTGCCCCCTAAAAGGCAACGGATTAAGGGTTTGTTGATATTTGACTTGCTGGGCTGAAAAGTGCAGATACCACAGCCTAGCTCTAAAACACTACACAATGTATCTGAGGGTAGTTGCTTATCTTTTACAGGATGTTGCAGAACCAACCCTAGCAGCCCCTGGCTGTTGTGTGGTTTCTCTAGGCAAATTTACGTCCAGTAGTTTTCCATTGCTTTCTGGACGGTCGGCCCCCTGATACCACTGTCGAAACCAACGCAAGGCGCATGGCCTGCAGCTGGGATCGAACCTGGCATTACGAAGCATTTGCATCGACTTAGCCACAGAGCCGACACACAATTTATCTACAGCCCTTTAAAGGGTAACTGCATAAAGAAGAAGCAACATCTCAGTATCGGTTCCCCCCTCATTTCCCATCTCCATTAATGAAAAGGCTTTTTGGTCAAATATTTTATTTGATTGTTATGACCTTGACTCCCAGCTCGACCCAGCCTTGAGTGGGTACTGGGTGCAGTCCTAGGAAGTAAAGGCGGCTGGCATGATGCTGACCACATCACCCATCTTTTGCTGATTGGTCTATAAAAATATAGGTCTAGCCCTATACGCCTAAAGGCATGGACTTTTTTGTTTTCTGTTGTTTCTTTTTTGAGTATTGTGAGGGCTTCCATCTCATGTATGTTTACTCACTGTACAGACAGATGTAAAAAAAAATTGTTTTTAATGTGAAAATACTCAAATTTGTGTAACCTCTTGTATATCAGCAGTTCTGGTTGATGTATTTTGAAATGGATTTTTATTTTATAGCAGATTTATTTTATTTCAAAGAACTAGTCTGAAATTTTCAGTCCTACAACTGGTATGTAAGTCTATGAAATAACACTACAAGAAACTAATTAAACGGTGGATGCATATGTATATGGGTGCATACATTAATTTATGCATATTTGTAAGTGTCTTGCATATGTGTTGATAAGTAAACAATCTAATACAATTTAAATTTTAAAAAGTGTTTGCCTTGCATATTGCTTTGTAACTCTCAGTGCATAGTACAGATTTAATTACAGCAAGCACATGAACCAAGATGCATTTGTGTTGATAAGTAAACAATCCAATACAATTTATATTTTAAAAAGTGTTTGCCTTGCATATTGCTTTGTAACTCTCAGTGCATAATACAGATTTAATTACAGCAAGCACATGAACCAAGATGCAAATGTCAGTGGCACTCATGTGCAATTGTTGCTCATGTGTTAGCATACTGGAGCATAGAAATTAAGGCAGACAAAAAAAAATCCAGGGAGATGTGAGCTAGAGAGTGTAGTTGAAGAGATAGGGGAGCGTGAGGTGAGCTGCATTCAGTAGCAAAAGATATACAAGGGGGTGCCTAGTTGACCATGTTCTTAGTGGACTTGTGTCCATAGCGAGCCGCACACGCCATCTGGAGGTGACAGGTTCGATTCCCGGCACCGTAACTATAGCTTTCAATTTTGATGTTGTCTAGCGTATTCTTCTACTTCTTTCTATGAGTGCTAATCAATCCATTTTCTGTTACTTTATTAATATAGCAATAGATAGGACTATTTGACATGAGTTAGTTGAGAGCCTATGCTCTATTGGGGAATTAGGGCAGAAGAAATCAAGTTTGCAACCATGTTCTTTTGCCTATACAAGGAATGTGTACCAGAAAACAGTTTGGATTGTATCGCAGCCTGTGGGCGCTGACCATGAAGACTGTTATGTTTCTCTCAAAGTCGGAGTACATCTGCCCGTGAGGCAGGGAATGGCAAAAGCCAGTAAAACGGTTGTACACGCAAAACTCAGATCCAGGTAAAAGCCAAAAGTTCAAGCAGACGATTAACCGGGACCTTCCGCCGGAATTCACAGCTTGTGAACGAAGAAGAAGTAGACTGTTAGAGAGCCATGTTTTATTGAGGGAAAAAAATATGGACCTAGTACTAATTCTTCTTCTAAATGAAAGCCATGACAGTAATTTATAAAAGTTTATGAGCAGGTCACAGATTTGGAATTCCATGTTTTGAATTATAGGACTAAAGAAGAAAAGATCTACAGCTTCCCTAAGAGCATGTTAAAAAAGGTGACTAATGAGAGCTGTTTTCCTTAAAGTCAGAGTGCAACTACCTGAGAGGCGATGATCCAATAGTCTACAAACAAATAATCAGGATTCTTAGAATGGATGTGTATGCAAAACTCTAGTTCTGGAACCGTGAAGTCCAGAAGAGGATGTTCAGCCAGAATTGTCTGCCAGGGCTAAAGCTTGTGAATGCTAATAGAAGAAGAAGAGTTAGGCATGTGTGTGTGTATGATAAGAGAAAGTGCATGGTCTTTTCCACACCTATGTCAAATGGAGCCTACGGTAACAAAATCAGTGGTGCATTGAGCATGTCAGACTCGACTCGTAATTTTTTAGACCATTCGGCACTCGAGGGGTAATGTAATATCATGTCGGCTACCTTTACTTTCCAGGATTCTACATGGTAACTATTGAAGGTAGGGTCGACCTGGGAGCCAAGGTCATGTTTGAAAAAATAGGATTTGGATCTGCAGGCAAGCATCTAGCTGCTAAAGTACAGCAGTTCCCATGGCATATGGTGCTGTACCCATGTTTCTGTGGGTATCTGATGTGTGGTGTGGTCAGTGTCTGGTGGGTGGTGTGGTCAGCATCTGATGGGTGGTGTGGTCAGTGTCTGGTGGGTGGTTTGGTCAGTGTCTGGTGGGTGGTGTGGTCAGTGTCTGGTGGGTGATGCAGTCAGCATCTGATGGGTGGTGTGGTCAGCATCTGATGGGTGGTGTGGTCAGCATCTGATGGGTGGTGTGGTCAGTGTCTGGTGGGTGGTGTGGTCAGTGTCTGGTGGGTGGTGTGGTCAGCATCTGATGGGTGGTGTGGTCAGCATCTGATGGGTGGTGTGGTCAGCATCTGATGGGTGGTGTGGTCAGCATCTGATGGGTGGTGTGGTCAGCATCTGATGGGTAGTGTGGTCAGCATCTGATGGGTAGTGTGGTCAGCATCTGATAGGTGGTGTGGTCAGCATCTGATGGGTGGTGTGGTCAGTGTCTGATAAGTGATGTGGTCAGTGTCTGATGGGTGGTGTGGTCAGTGTCTGATGGGTGGTTTGGTCAGCATTTAATAAGTGATGTGGTCAGTGTCTGATGGGTGGTGTTGTCAGTGTCTGATGGGTGGTGTGGTCAGCATCTGATGGGTGGTATGGTCAGCATCTGATGGGTAGTGTGGTCAGCATCTGATGGGTGGTGTGGTCAGTGGGTGGTGTGGTCATTGTCTGGTGGGTGGTGTGGTCAGCATCTGATGGGTGGTGTGGTCAGTGTCTGGTGGGTGGTGCGGTCAGCATCTGATGGGTGGTGTGGTCAGCATCTGATGGGTGGTGTGGTCAGCATCTGATGGGTGGTGTGGTCAGCATCTGATGGGTAGTGTGGTCAGCATCTGATGGGTGGTGGGGTCAGCATCTGATGGGTGGTGTGGTCAGCATCTGATGGGTGGTGTGGTCAGTGTCTGATGGGTGGTGTGGTCAGCATGTGATGGGTGATGTGGACAGTGTCTAATGAGGGATGTGGTCAGTGTCTAATGAGGGATGTGGTCAGTGTCTAATGAGGGATGTGGTCAGTATCTGATGGGTGATGTGGTCAGTATCTAATGAGTGATGTGGTCAGTATCTAATGAGTGATGTGGTCAGTGTCTAATGAGTGATGTGGTCAGTGTCTAATGAGTGATGTG